TGGGGCCAGCCCTCCTGGCCGTACCCAGCCCCGCACCCAGCGCCGCTCGCTCCGGGCCTGGCCTCAGGCGCCGTCTCTGTGCCCCGCAGTCCAACATCACGCGTGCCAACTGCAACAAGATGATCATGATGTTCACGGACGGCGGCGAGGACCGGGTGCAGGACGTCTTTGAGAAGTACAACTGGCCCAATAAGACGGTGAGGGGCTGCGGGGCCGTGTGCTGGGCTGGGGCCATTCCCTGGGCAGGGACACTGCTGCTCCAGCCGCATTGCCGGCTTCTGCCTCATTTGCCTTGTCGCCATCCCCTCTCCCAGACAGCCCACTCCTGCACCGAGCCGCTGCCCTGGTACTGGGGCAGCTGATGTGCCGGTGATGTTTATAGCTGGTTCCCACCTTGGTGTACAGGAGGCACAGGGACAGGCACCCCATGAGCTGCTGAGGAGGGGATGGGGCTGCTGGGCTCCCCAAGCGCCTGCCCTGGGGGGAGGACACCCCAGGCACAGGGGACAGAGCTGCTCACAGTGGGATGAGCTGACAGGAGGACCTGGAGACCCATGGCATGGTGGGATCCTGGGCCATGCTCAGAGAGCACAGACCCCTCTGGGTGCGGCAACGCCCCAGCACGAGGACCCCAGTCCCACCAGGGGGGATGGCTGGGGCCGATGCGGTGACAGTGGGAGCACCAGATGTAAGAGACCAGGGCGCCCTGGAGGCGGCCCTCACCGCCTCGCTGTGCCACAGGTGCGGGTCTTCACCTTCTCCGTTGGGCAGCACAACTACGACGTGACCCCGCTGCAGTGGATGGCCTGCGCCAACAAAGGTGAGCGGGGCTGGCACCCCGCCGGCATGGAAGGCCGTGGGGTTCTGGGGTCTGTCCTTGCACAGGGGCTGGCTCCAGTGCTAGGAAGGAGCTGGCCGTGCCCTTGGAGGGCTGGACAGGCAGACAGCCGGCTCTTCAGCTGCCTTTCCCTTTCTTTTCCAAGGTTACTACTTCGAAATCCCCTCCATCGGTGCCATCCGCATCAACACGCAGGTACGGCAGGGTGCCGGCAGGCAGAGCTTCCCCCCAGGGGTGTCCTGGCCAAAGGGGTGCTCAGGTAGCCCCTGCCCCGCTGCAGCGAGCCCAGAGGCTGGCAGTGAGCAGGGCAGCGAGCCAGGGAGCCCAGCCAGGCCTCGTGGTGTAGAAACAAGCAATTCCTCTTCTGCGACTCCCTGCGGATCTGCTGCCTTTGGAGTGACTAATTATGAAACATCAGGCGTTAATCAGCACAGAGCAGAGCCGAGCATGGGCAGGGAGCAAGCGCAGGCAGGGCCAACCCCAGCCAGGCGTTTCTGCCCCTTCTCTGCCCCTTCTCTGCCCCTTTTCTGCCCCTTTTCTTTATGGGATGCACACAGGGTGCCGTGATGGGCAGGTGATGGGGTCCCTTGAGCAGGGCAGCCTCCTCGGGGCAGGGCTGGCTTCATGGCACAGGGGCTGCCCCCCTGCCCAGAGCTTTGCCTTGTCAGGAAGAGTCAAGATAAGGGAAATGTGCCCTGGGAGAAGATCCCAAAAGCCAGGCGGTGGCAGCCAGGGGGACAGCAGCAAGGTGGTCTGGGTGCGACGGAGCGAGCCCAGCCCTGGGGATGGCTGGGACAGGGGTTGGAGCAGGGAGGCGTCTGTCTCCTGTGTCACGCTTTCCTCCACCCTGTGTCCCTGCAGGAGTACCTGGACGTGCTGGGCAGACCCATGGTCCTGGCTGGGAACCGAGCAAAGCAGGTTCAGTGGACCAACGTCTACCAAGATGCCCTGGTAAGGACCCCTGGCACCGGGGTGCAGGTGGGGACACTGACCCCAGAGTCCCGAGCAGCACGCACCCCCATCTCCCTTGCTGGGGGTGTAACCCCCCTCTGCTGCCCGTCCCCAGCTCTGGGCTGGCGAGGGGCCATGGGACACCCTCCTGTGCTTGTGCAGGGGCTGGGCCTGGTGGTGACGGGCACGCTGCCGGTGTTCAACCTGACGGAGGACAGCAGTGACAGGAAGGTAGGAGACGGCGGCACCCACCACCCTGGCTGTCCTGGGACCCCCCATGCAGGGCTGCAGCAGGGTGGGGAGGATGCCCCAACACTGGGTGCATGGCTGTGGGGGGGTGGGCATTGCTCTGTGCCGCCACACTGGGGTGACACCAGGGGTGACTGCCGTCCTGGGACCCGAAATGGCCTTGGCTTGCTCTCCCAGTGCAATGGGGACAGCTGTCAGGACACAGCGTTCCGTGGAGCGCTGCTGAGGGGCTGGCACGTCCCACCCTGTGCCCCTGTGGTGTCCAAATCCAACCCACACATCCCTGGAGGGAGAGGAGATCCATGCCCTGGCTTCCCTGTCCCTGCTCCCACTCACCTCTCTCCCTGCGCTTCCTTACAGAACCAGCTCATCCTGGGCGTGATGGGGATCGATGTGGCTCTCAATGACATCAAGAGGCTTACGCCGCGATACAACGTGCGTGAGGGCCCTTCCCCCGTCCCTGCCCTGCGCTGCCCAGGCCTGGCATGGGAAACTGCCACAGGGAGCCCCCAGCTGCCCTCCAGCACCCACAGCAACTTCAGCAGCGCTGGCAGGAGCTGGGTGCAGGAGCCATGGGTGCAGGCAGGGAGCGGGGCAGGGAACAGAGCTGTTTGATGCTCTAGGACCCAGCGTGGAGCCAAAACCCTTGTGGGGTCAGCGGGGAATAAACCTTACCAGCATGGGGAAAGGGGCAGCAGGCAAAATCCAGAGCCGGGCCGAGCGGTGCTCTTGACCTGAGAACAGAAGTAGATGGGTAGAAAAAGCTGAGCCCGGGGGTGGCGTGGGGCAGGCTCTACCTGCAGAGGTGAGGGGGGTCACCCCGGCTGCCTGGCCGGTCTCACCCCTGCTCCTGTCCTCCCGCAGCTGGGGGCAAATGGTTACGTCTTCGCCATTGACCTGAACGGCTACGTCCTGCTGCCCCCCCACCCGCCGGCCCCGGGGGGGAGGG